CAGTGAAGCAACGTCCTCCACAACTAGACTGAAGAACAAAACGACAGCAACTTGTCTGTTCCCCTTCCCCCAACTCCCCCAGCACTGTTCTCATCCCCCAATTCCCCAATAAAATTTTTTTAAAATAAATAAATAAATAAATAAATAAATAAAAGGACAATTTCCAATGCTGGCAGGCCGTGGGCAAACAGGCTGCTCATGCCCTGCTGGCACAGGTCTAAAATGGTACCACCTTCCCAGTGGGGAACTTGGCCACCTGCATGGCAGTGCAATTCTACTTCTAGGACTGTGGCTTACAAAAACAGCCAGAGACATACACAAAGATTTAACTACATCAATGTTCTTCACTACCTATTTTGTAACAGGGAAAACTGCAAACAGCCTAAATAACCAAGTCTCTCTGTTGAAAAGACAGACTGGGGGTTGACCAGTTAGCTCAGTTGGTTAGAGTGTGGTGCTGATAACAACAAGGTTGCGGGTTCAATCCCCACATGGGGCCACTGTGAGCTGCGCCCTCCTTAAAAGAGTCAGCTATGCCATTGTAGCATGAAAGCTATGTGTAACCAATGACCATGGTGTGTAACCAATGACCATGGCTGTTCCCCAATTGAAAATAAACAACAAAAAAAACCTCCCTTTCACTTTTTTTTTAAAAAAAGAAAGAAAAGATAGATTGGTATGTGCATACAATGGAACACCCTGCAGCCATTAAAAAGTGCTTAGCTACATGGTGAATTTGAGTCCTCCATGGAATTGTAAGGAAACGGCATGATAACATATTAATAATAAGCACTTCAGGGAAAAAGGGTGGTTTCTGTACAATACCATCCCATTTCTGTGAAATAGGTAGATGGGAGTAGTTACTTCTAAATGCACTGGCATCCACCAAAATGTTTACAGTGATTCTTTACAAGTGGTAAATTTATAAATCATTTGTTTTTCCTTGTTTTTGACTTTTAAAATTTGTACAGTTCATGTGCATTACTTGTGAGAAAAAAAATTGAAGTTATTCTTTGAAAATGTCTCTCTTTACCTCCTACTACCCACCTACCAGGGGGCCTAGTAAATCAGGGGCAGCTTGTTTAGGCAGAAGGCCAAGTGTTTCGTGTCTTACTCCAAAGAAAAAGTCTTATCCTAGTTGATGACTCTCGTTTCTGAAGCACTGGTTAAGGTCAGTCTTTGAGCCATTTCTGAAGAGCACTGTCTCTGCTTCAAACTATGCAGAACTAGAAAAGGGGCAAAAAGGAGGGAACAAGGGAATAATCTGAACATTATTCCTGGCAAAGCTCTTTACAGACCTAATAGGAGCCCAGGAGACCACGTCTACCATAGCCTCGGCCCGCAGTCCTGAGACCACGTCCACCACAGCCTCGGCCCGCAGTCCTGAGACCACGTCCACCACAGCCTCGGCCCGCAGTCCTGAGACCACGTCCACCACAGCCTCGGCCCGCAGTCCTGAGACCACGTCCACCACAGCCTCGGCCCGCAGTCCTGAGACCACGTCCACCACAGCCTCGGCCCGCAGTCCTGAGACCACGTCCACCACAGCCTCGGCCCGCAGTCCTGAGACCACGTCCACCACAGCCTCGGCCTGCAGGCCTCAGCCAACCTCGGAGACACCACAGCACTTTCCCTTCCCAGCAGTACCGTAAGAACTTCCAAGGAGGACTCCTGCGGGGAAAACGTCCTGAAAAGCATCTGGTTCCCAAACCCTGACCATGCTTTAGAATGACTCCAAGAGCACATTAAAAAAGAAAAAAGAAGCAAGTGAGACTCCTGGGTCTTACCCTAGACCAACTGTACTAGAATCGTGTGAGTTGGGCCAAGGGATTTTTTTTTAAACTTCTCAAGTGATTCCGAAGCAGACAACCCACATACCAACGTTCAGTGATTTTTTTTTTTAACAACTGCTGGCTAGAAAGAGCCGAGAAATATCTACTCCACCTAACTTTAATTCGATTAGCACCAGTCAGGTAAGAAAATGAAAACCCTCCAAAATAACTCAGATTACACCACCTCTTGGAGTTTTATCAAATCTCACCACCGAGAAGCCCAACCTTTTCACGTCCCTACATTCTCCTCTTCTGTTACAGTCCGTTCTCTTTTATCTGGTCCTCAGTGGACCCTGGAAACACATCATCTCTGTTAAAATGTGTGATTACACTGGGAGATGAAAATGCAGTATAACAATACAAAAATAAAATGCTCCTGTGCAGCCAGCCCTGAAGCCACAGAGCACCATCCCGAGTGGGAGGACTCTGGGGGGCAGCTAAACACAGCAGACGTCAACAAGCACCCTGTCAGAGTCCGCTTGGGTGCACACCTATCACCACACATTTAGACCAAGGTTGTGTGCAAGATCTTATTCTTTGTGAACTTGATTCTTGAGGAAAAATCAATTGCTTTCCAGGGATATTTTCAGGTGGCATTTCGTGCTGTGATTCAACAGAATCATGAAATCTCCATGTTTTCTATTTAGTGGGTTTCTTCTGGACCTTTGGTGTTAAGACTCTGCCTTACCAGAGATATCCACTAATGCTCTGCTCCCTCAATGGCATGGAGTCACGGATTTCCTGAGGCCCATATTCATACTATTTAATCACAAAGAGTTAGAATCCTTTCCTATTGTGGTAGTTTTAAAACACGACCCCCAAACTCTTTGATATGTCTCCTCTCATCCAGAAGTGGGGTTCTCAATACTGTGAATGTATTAAAAGCCACTGAATTGTAGGCTTAGAATGGTGAAAATTGTGAATTTATATTATGTGAATTTTACAAAAAGAAAGATTCTCTACTTTGCCTTTTGAATCCAGGCTCTGGTCTTACTTGACCCTTAGAATATGGAAGGAGTGATGTGCTGATTTCTGGGCCCAGGGCTTAAGAAACAGGCCACTGCTTCCATTTCCTGCCTTCTAGGATGCTCCCTCTTGGAACCCAGCCATCATACCCTGAGGATGTGTCAGCAGTCTTTGCACAGGTTAATTAAGTAAGAGAGGAACTGGGGTCCCCAGGCCTGAGCCCCCATTAGTTCAGAGCCAACAGCCAACAACTTACCAGCCGTGTGAGGGGGCCATCTTGAAAGTGGATCCTCCGGCCCCTGCGGAGCTGCCTCAGCCACAGCCACGTGCAGCAGAGACAAGTACCCCCTGCCACACCCTGTCTAAGCTGCAGAGTCGTGGACAAAACAAATGCCTGCGGGTGTAGAAGCCACTAAATTCTGTGATGGTTTGTTATGCAGCAATGGAGAATAGATATTATAAAGAAAGAGTGGCTGGTCAAGAATGGTCAAGAAAATTCTGGAACCTGGCAGCATAAATCACAGCAGATTCTGACAAGCATGATCTTTAGCACCAAAGAATTCATCCATGCATGTTCTTCACAACTCAAGTGAGTCACAATCTTTCTAACATGTTCACTCAAAACTATGCCATAGAGTGAAAATGAAGGCATCTGACTTTCTTGCTAAGAAATTTTTTTTTTTAAGGGGGAGAAAAAAGGCCAGAAAGCTACAGGGGCAAAATCTTATAAGCTATCAAATAACAAAAATGATGGGCAGCTCTCAATGCATCTTCTTAGAAAAAGTAACTTGAGAGGATGTCTTTCATGCCACCCTTCTGCTCTGCCCAAAGCGTTAAGGAGCTTCAACTCTGTTCTCTCCTTACCTCCAGCCTCTCCGGCGGGGGCTCATTCTGCAGGATCCTCAAAGCTTTCGCAGCAGCATCGTGTTTCGCAGCCTGTCTCGTCTTTCCTTTCCCGTTAAATTGCTGTCCTCCCACAGAAAGTTCAACTTGATAAAGTAAGGGTGGTACTGGAAATGGGTAAAAGTACCTAAAAATAGAAGGGGATGAGGAAAATTAGTCTCAGGTTGATAAGTCACTCGTGCATTCTCTGGCAAATGCCAGATACTTCCTTCACCATGGGTCGTAACTGCATTAGTGTTTGCTTGCCAATGACGAACCCTCCATCAGCATATCCAGAGATTTCGTGAATTTACTCTGGATGAGAATTGCCAGTCTTCACAAAATCTAAAATGGATCAGGCTGTAGCTGAGACAGAAAATATAACCTGCTCGACTTTCTCTTATCTGAGATTCACACTTGTGTGTCTCCAGAAAAGGCTGGGAGTGTGTAAACGGAAGACTTTTAGAAAGGGCCCTCATTTCTGGAAATCCCAACAGCCTGTAGCCTAGTAGAGGTCGGTTTCTTCCATTTCAGAGTTTATATTTTTCAACTGGTTTTGGTCCCCCCAAGAAGAGCAGGGACATGAAGACTTCCGTTTTGATCATCAAATATCCACTAATGTCTCATGACTGAGGGCAGGAGGTTTTTAATGCATGGCATTTTCAAGTTTCAATTAATATTTTACCGCACCTGTTCACCAAGGCTATTTACAAAGCACATTAAGTTCAAATGTCAAAAAGTACCCAGTAAACAATAATCAGGAAATCTATGAATGCTGAGAATCATGGTATTGCGGCAATCATGTTTAAATATGACTCAGTTACACAAAGCAGTTTCAAGGGTGATCTTTCTTTAACCAGACTGCTTGGGAGCACAAGCCATAGTGCTGGTGAGGAGCATGCTGAGGCCCTTTCCCGTGACAGGAGAAAAAAGAGCATTGAGATACATTCCAAAGAAACCAACACAACCAAGACTGATTTCAACATCTGGCAGGTCAAAGACAACCAGATTATCACATGCCCCACAAGCTACAGATTTTATTATTCTATGCAAAAGATCAGGTATACTTTCAACTGTATTTAAAACACACACGTACCTTGGGGGATAAGCACCTCCTCTCATGTTGTAGTTATAGGTGGACTGCATCCGAGAGTAGGGGTCAACAGGCTTATACATTGGTTTTTTCCCAAGTTTCATGCACAGTGCATTGAGCTCTACAGTAGGGGTTATGCTGTCTGCAACACAGAATTAGCACAAAGAACTGGGTTTTTTTCTGGCACAGGAATGACAGTCACTAAAATCAGAAGGAATAGCATGCTTTCTACTAATTAGATTCATGTTGCACTTCACTGCTAGGCAGCAGGTCAGGAAATCCAAGAATCTGCTGTGATTTCTAGATATTAATACACAGTCAATCGCACAAAATACACTGTAAGGGCTATTAGAGGGAGCAATAATTTAACACGAGATGTTATCAGTGCAAGCCACATATTCCAGTGGTCAGAAGTAAGTTCCAATGCTTACTTACAACTTCCGTGACTAAAACATCCCAGGTGACTGACCAAATCATGTTGTCGTTTGGGAATACTTAACCAATATAACACTGGTTGTACTGACTTACTGGGTTATCGGCTTACACTTAGAAGTATATCTGTACACACTATTTCATAGAACAATGCATTTATTAAGTACTAACTAGATGCAAAGCACTGTGCTAAGCTTGAGGGACACAATTCTTGCCCCACAGGAGCTCAATAAACACAAAATACACACTCAACGAACTACAACACAAGATGTGCTATAAGGACAGGTGTAGGATCACTAAGAAAAAGGCAGGTAAATTCTATCTGGAAAGGTCAGATGAGACACACAAAATATTCAGATATTTCAATTCTCAATATTTAGAATGGAATTTGACCTGTGGTAATAATACTTGTTAGGAAAATGAGTTGTTTCCACATACAACAGGAGCATGTGGATGTTGGGTTACGTCAGCATCACCAACTTTAGAAAATACACACTATTAATTTTCCAATTTTTTTCCTCTAAGTTCATCCAATTCATAAACCTTTCAAACCCATTTAAAAGGAAAACCATGGGCCGGCCAAGTGGCTCAGTTGGTTAAGAGCTCGCTCAAGAGTGCGAGCTCTGAGCAACAGTGGTTTGCGTCCCAGTCCCAGCTGAGCTGCTGCTGAGCTGCCAACAGAAGGCAGAATGGCTCAGCTAAAAAATAAATAAATAAAAATTAAAAAATAAAAGGAAAACCAGCCTGAAAAGATTAGTGTCAGTGCACAATCACATCGAAAAACAGCACTTTCATATCAAACACAGAACAACACTAGCAATGGCAAAGTTCGATTTAAATGTACACGAAAATCTACTCTAAAATGCCTCTTTAGGATGTAAAGAAAAATAAAAATGACTTGATTCTGTACTATAACTGGTCTGACTAAATTTAGTGCATGAATCAAATTTATAAGAGTATCTTTGGGTCTGCAAAATCAGAGAGTCACATGGATAATCAACCCCTCTCTACCTAACATCAGAATTATATTTTTTACAGAATTCATATAGTTGCATTTTAAGTATAACCTAAATCATTTTAAGAGCAGCTCTGACTCATCAAATTTATCTGCAGTAGAGAATGAATTTGAAAACAGGATACCACAAAGAAATCAAAAGCAACGAGAAAGGTGTGACCAAGGTCTTCCCGGACTCATTCCTACGGACAAGGGATACTTCGCGTACTTGAGGGGTAACTGCTAAAACAGCCACTCCTACCCACAGCTGCCAGGCCAATGGCCCCTAAGCTTTCAGCAGACAGGCTTCTTTATTAGTATTCTCCTGCTTGGTTCCCTGTTTGAAGAGAGATTATCTGATTTGGATTTAAGTGATAAATATTTAGGTTATTTTCTCATTCTTTTTAAAGATCAGGAGACAACAATCAAGGTTTCTGATCAACATGCTATAATTGAATTACCACATTGAGTTGAAGTGATTCTAGCTAAAACCTACATTCTTGGCAATCTGTATAACCTTATAAAGGGGGGAAAAATTATTTTCATTAAGCTTTTCTGAAATCTTAGAAATCGTTTTGTGACACCCCCCACTTCCCATGGCCACCTCTGCAGGTCATCAGGAATCAAGGGACCATCAGCTGGGAACCACTGCTTTAGAATAAGGAGAGCATTTGCCACTGGTAGTGCAGAATCTGTGCTTTCAAAATCACCAAGTTAGTTCAGAAATAATTCATATACATACTAAATGGTACCTCTAGACACATTTTTGAAAGGAACCTGTCTTGGCCCACGCATAATACCTGGATTCCTTCCTTCGCTACGAAAAGGGCGAGCTATGGGTTTGGGAAATTTTGTTCCTTCCAAAGCTTTGGCAGCAGCTGTGTGCTGGGCTTTTTTAATACTAGTTCCTTCAGCTTCCCAGTGCTGATCTCCAAGTGTTAGCTGTACTGTAAACACCTACAAATGAAAATTGTGAGCTCTCAATTCATGAAACCTGATGGTAACTGTAATATGTCACTTGGACCTTGAACATTTTTTATGGTCATGGTTTAAAAGGCCTGGTCATTATATTGGCAATTTATCCCTTCACACACTTTTTTGTTGTTTTAACAAACACAAAAAGATATATAGACAGATGATTGATAGATGATAGATAGATAGATAGATGATAGATAGATCAGTGACTAGCAATGCACTCCATGAAAAAACTATGTTTTGAAAGATGGGGGTAAATACAGAGATTTTTAAATGTTTTCTTATATATTAAAAGATTAGACACTGATTATTTGGAAGCCATCCAAATAAAAATTGTCTTCCAATTATTTCTCATGGAAGAAATTCAGCAAATTTGATTTAAGCACACAGTACTATTTCACACAATTAAGACAATATTTGTTTTGATGTTGTAATGTATTTGCAGACTCTTGTCTGAAAACACAACCCCAGTAGGACAAAAACTTGAATAAGTTTGGGAATGATAGCCAGGTTCTAAAATGTTGCCTTTCACTTTCCTACGATTGCACTATTCATACACTGCCTCCACTTTCAGAAGAAACTCAGATCCACAGCAAGCAAAGACCTAAAAAACGCTCTGAACTCAAATTGAAGGAAGCATCCAAAATAGCTAATTTTGTCCTCAACAAATGCCGGCGACAGCAAGCCTCTTTTTTCCTTTTTATAAGGTAACTCCACTCAATTCTTAAAATTAGGTTATGTTAATTCTACCAGTATGGAATTAATACTCTGTCAGAAAACAATGACCCATCACAGCACAGTGATTAATTAACCATGGTGTGCATCTGACGAATAACCTAGGAAGCGTGGTAAAGTACTCATGCCCAGGGTTTCTGACTGAACAGCACAAAAAACACCCAAGCATGCGTAATTTTAATAAGCTCCCGAAGTGTTCTCTGAAGTTTGAGACTCACTACTTTGGAGCTTTTAGTTTTCTGATTTTCTTTATCACTGAATACCACTGCACTTCATTTAAAATAATTTACATGAGGGGCGGCCAGTTAGCTCAGTTGGTTAGAGCGCAGTGCTCATAACACCAAGGTTGCCGGTTCGATCCCCACATGGGCCACTGAGCTGCGCCCTCCACAACTAGATTGAAACAACTACTCGACTTGGAGCCAATGGGTCCTGGTAAAACACACTGTTCCCCAATTAAAAAAAAAAAAATTTTACATAAGAAATGTTGATTTCAGTTATTCCAGGTCATCTAAGTTTGGTGCCTAAAGAGATGAGGGTGACTTGCCTTCATAGCTGATTTTTCTTGTAGGTCTTAACTTCAGGATTCCCTCAGTGCACAGCTTCCACTAAAGGGGAAACTTAAAGACTCCTTCATCCCCCAAAACATTAGGGGTCTCCTGTACTTATGCTGCAGTTCACAACGTTACTCACTTAAGCACCAACAGCATGAACTCAAAACCCTAGCCGGCCTGAGAAGTCAAAAAGCAGCAGCCTGCAGTGCTGTGCAAACCTTGGGTCATGTTCAAGATCCTTTCACGGAAAGACACTGAAGGGGGAAATGCTAAAAAACAAAATTAAGAGTTAATTTCATTAACAGTCTTGCCTTTCTTCAGGACTTTCCCCGTCCAGCACTGCTGACGTTCTGTCACCTTCTGTGTGGAGGGTTGGCAGCGAGGTTAGAATCTTGGTTTGGATAGAATTAAAAGTCCACCAGACCTCTGACTTTTTAAATAGTCTAAAAGTCATCTAGAAGGAAATAACTCTTCCTCTTTGAACGACTTTTAGGTTACAAAAATGCAGTTATAGACGGAACACACAGCCAAACTACCTAAAGTACTAAAAGTTCAAGTGAGAAAGTACATATTTAAAAAATACCAGAACAGTTAATGAAGGGAATCCCAAAGTTAAGGTCTGCAAAAAAAATCCTGTAGAAGAAACAGAATAGTTATAGAAAAATGACTAACTGCCTTTTAAAGGTAAAGAAACATTTTAATTATTTCAATTATGCTTTAGAATGTTAAAAGTAGCTTCATATGAGTGGGAAATTTGTTTTTCTTAAATGCATAATTGCTTAATAATAATAGCTACCCCTTCTCAAGCATGTACTAAATGCCAGACATTGTATCCACACTTTAACATATATTTTTATCATTTAATTTTAACAATAGGCCTATTTGGTAGATATTATTATCCTCATTTTACAGATGAGGAAACTGAGGTTCAAAAAAGGTAGCAACTTGCCCAAGGTCATACAGCTAGTAAGAAGCTAGGATCAAACCCAGATCTGTTTGACTCCAAAAGCCACTCAGCTATGTTATGGTGCCTGTTTATGATAAGTCATTGGTGTTACTTTTAGTCAAATGAAAAGAGAAACTTGGTATCATTCAAGGCTTGAGGTTTGCATGTCAAGGAAAATGAGCCATAAAGAGACAAGTAGCTCATCCTTAATTATGTTACTGCAAGGCTAGGATCAGAAACAGGAGGCCCAAGTCCTTCTCTCTCATACTATATATCCTCTCATACTACAGCTGCAAAAGATAAAGCCAGATATGCAATATTGAAGTTCCGTGGTGTACATTAACACAGGTCTCAAATGAGCTTAAAAGACTGCATTTCTGAATAACAAATAGCAAAAATTCAAATTCCAGTCAGTCTTTCAGTCTCTAAAATGAGGGGAATGACAAGCGTAGTTGACATCAGAGGCAATCCAAAATATTCCCTTTGAAACTGATTTCTACGTCTCATCTTCAAACCCTTTACCTGATTACTAACGAGTGGCAAAAGTGATTTCCAGTCCAGTCCCCCCTCCCTGCTCCGGCTAAGGTGCACATGCGTTTAAACGAGCAGGAAAGGAGCCAGAGGTGGGCTACATGCCGCCAGGAGGCCCAGCGCCTGGAAAACTCACAGGAAATCACTTACTGGTGCTTGGGAATTGTCCCTATTCGGAATCCTAAACCACCACACACTAACTGAATCTTCAAAAGCCAAATATCCCAAACAAAGCATATCTTTGACTTGACCCCACTCTACAAGGATGAGAAAAGCAACTCACCCAAAATCCATACTTTCGCATCTCAACTTCCACCACCTCAGCAGTTTAACAATACGTATTTTGAATCACAGCACCACTTGCAATAGTATAAAAAGAAAACATTCCTGGTGGGTTATAAATGCACAAGCAGTATGGACAATATTTACCTTACAGTGAGCTGGACCTTGCTCACGCAAAAGCTTATACTCAGGCTGAATCTTGTTGAAACGGGCTAACTCATTCACAAGACACATTGGGGTTTTCTCTTTGGGGTGTGCCATGTTAGAAGGAACTGAAAAATAACGTAAGAGCATTGAAGTCAACTAGCAGTATATAGACTGCTGCTCTCCCAGGGATATGACAAAAGAGGGAAAAACTGAAGGTCGAAGCATTTAGAGCAGCAGTGATGCAAAGCTGCAAACCACACTGGGGGTGCATGCCTGAAGACAGCTGGAATCTTTTCTGAACCAGGTGAGGCCAGGTAACCTTGAGGAGAGGGTGTCCTCAAAAGAGAGAGACTAGAAGTCAGGGGAATAACTAAGCCATGGCAGGCAAGCAAGATCTGGAATCAGATGAAGCACTGCTATTATAACCCACCAAGGGAATAACAAGGTCTTCTGGGCAGACGCACTGCTTACTGCAACAGCTGTCAGTTGTACCCTGTTCGTTATTTCACAAAACATGCCAACACCATTTCTCAAACAATGACTGTCGTTTCCCACACACTTAACTTCTCATTCCTGGGCGTCCCCTAGTCTGATCTCCAGAGGCTGCCATCCGCAGACCTTATCTATTTCTGAAAATGTAAGTACAATAAAATGGCCTTGGTGGGCAGGAGTTTTACAAAGTCAATAGGATGTGGATATAAGAACACATTAGAAGAAAAAGCAATAAATCCCACAGGACTGAAATAGTCGGTGCCACTGCCTTTTAAGACAGTTTCAAATGGCAAATGTGGGGAAAATTGAATCTCTAGGGACTATGTATGACAAGTCAAGAATGCTATCTGGTGAGCCAGTCCAAGGAAGTCTAGAGGTAGCGTGATAAATGCCATGCGGCTGAGAATGGGACAAGCTAAAACTCTGAAGAACAGATTTACAAAGGAAAGGAAATGAGAGGATGAAATGCAAGGGAAATTGTCAGGTATAAAGGGTTGAAAGGAATTCATTATAAGGTGACTCTGGCATGGAAGACACCCATGCTGACACTCCATTTCATTGGTTTTTGCCACTATGGTGGGGAGGGGCAGAATACTGCTTTTTTGGGTTTTTTATTCAGGCGTTTCAAGTCGTTTCTAACCAATGAACACATTTAGTTCATTTTTAGTCTCCTAATAATCAGATTTGAATGCTTCTAAACTGACTTCCTGTTTAAAAAGCTGTTTCCTTGTTCAATCTCTAATTGGTCTTCAGTATGATTTCTAAACTACCTCTAGAATCTCAACTTAAACTCACTTATTCAAAATAAAAATTAATAAATGCCAATGCACTTTTCTGCTTGCCAGTAAATCTGGCTGCCCCTTTGCTTATAAAATCTTATAGATATACAAAAAGGGGGCTTAAACCTACAAGAGTTCTTTGTCAGTTCTGGGAAATAATTTTAAAAGCAGAATTTGCCCATACAACAATGAATATCCAAAGAGGTATTTATTCTTCAATTCTCTCTGCCAGCCACCACTTTATAATAAACGAGTTTTGATAGTTTAGTTTTCACTTCCTTTTTTTACACTTTGAAATGGTCTGTTAACTGAGGCCTCCAGCAACCCAATACACAAACAAGTGTTTTATATCTGGGATAAAGAAGCTTGGGTGGTAATACTTTCTTCTGCTTCTTGAAAATAAATGTGAGAGCTCTCTACATCTGCAATCTACTTATCAGATTGGAAAACAGGCTGAGAAAACATTCGAAACAGAAGACACTTGGATTCATACGCTTACCTGCAGCTGCACTGGTGGATGTAATAGATGCAGAGGGTAAAGCAGAGTTTTGAATAGGTCTACCTGCATTTTCAGAGGGCAGAGAGCTAGTAGTAGAAGGAATACTCATCAAAGGCTGTGAGAGAAGAGCCTGGTTCTTGTTCAGTATTTGGCTCCCTGAGAGAGCAGCAGATGGGTTCTGAACTTGCACTTGAACTTGAGACATGGTCACTTTCAACAAAAGTGAATAACTGCAGGTAAACAGCTTTCAATGCAGGTTAATTCAGTGCTATGAAGTCTAAAGTTCTACCTAAAAGTTGTAAGGGAAAGAAAATAAAAAGGTAAATTATAGAGGAGGTATGAAATTGCCAATATTCAGTCAAAATTGGTGTCACCTACTCAAGTATGAAAATAGCCCCATTTAGCATGTAGCTATGTTGATGTATTTAGAACTGTTTCTCCTCGACATACAGTAAGGTTCCTGGCCTTGTGACTTTCTCACAGTGTTTTCAAATGACTTAGAATACCCACATGCTCTGCATGTTCATTCTATGAAGAAAATCAGTAGAGTATAATACTTATTGTTGAACATTAAGAGTTATGAACTACAGCTTATACTCAAAAATGCACATTTAAAAACATGGAGAGGTTTTTTCGAAAGTATATGGGACGTGGTAAGGGTTTCTGGCCTCAGAATTATAAGAAGCTGAAAGCAACTGGGATGTAACATAATTAATAGGTGAATGTAAACACTGCTTCCATTTAAGGGCCTGGTGCTCACATTGGCATCTTTAGAGCTTTCCTTTAAGTTGACTAAAAAAAGAGGATTTCTCACTTTTGCTATTTTTTTTTCCTTATGATGATAAGAGATCTATTTGTTTTCTTAAGAGGTTTGAGATGCCCTCATTTAGTTACAGACCCCAAACAAAAAATAAAACTGTTGCACCCACATCAGTGTTCTTGGTACTGAGAAATTATCTGAAGAACAAAGAATATTCTATAGTACTTGAACTATTAAAAGCAAAAGGAGAGGAGATGAAGGAGGAACAGATTTCGGACTGGCAATTTTACTGCTATGGCTGGCAAGTTAGAGCCTGGAGAGCAGAGGAAACTGTTTACTGAATCCAGTGAGCTCCAAAGGCACTTGTGTTTTCTAAATACATTTCGATTTCTCCCCAAGTCAAAAGTAAAGACAGTTCTGCTCATTTTCATGGCCATCCTTCAAAAAGCTGAAAAGAGTGAAGCAAGGCAAACGGACCCAAAAATAACCAGTAGCAACCAAGAACATAAAAAGCCAACCAAAGCAGAAACCAGCAAACTAACAAACTAGAAATTTTAATACAGAGTAAATGTTTGTCACTTTAATTTTTTTTTTGAGTCACAGAATGATTTTTAATGAAAGCTGGATCTCTAGAAAGAGATGAATGACCAGAGCCATTAAGTTACTTGAGGAGTCCCGGCACATTCTCTCTTGCTGAGAGCAAGAAGGACTGCAAAACTCAAACACAGCAAAACCAAAACCTCAGCTGAAATGTGACTTTGGATCATAGAGGCATAAACATTATTACCCTATTCAACAAAACTGCCCAATTTGCAGTTGTTCCTTGTTTACTTTTGGAATCAGGACAAAATAACAGAGCTCCGCTGAAGATCTAGATAATGAGTCTTAGCAGACAGGCTGCCAGTGGCAAGAAACAAGTCCAGAACCGTTTAAAGTCAGCAATGACCTTGTTTCATTGTTTTTATTTCCTTCTGCTGCCAAAATAGAAATATTTCTCTCAATCTTCCCCCTACCCCTCTTATTCACCCACTTCCCCTCCCTCTTTCTAAACGCTGTCTGGAGGACATTTTTCTACCCGAAAAAAAAAACAAAAACCAACATAATTTATAGTGTACTAACAATTTCAGAACACCAACCACACGTCACAGGTCAAAAATAGCCCAAAGCAAGGTGTTTGCTTCAAATTCTGCCTGTATCCCAGGAGGAGCACCCAACTCTGCCCTGGGTGGCTCTCAGAATCTGAGACTGAATGAATGAACTAAATTTAGAAAGGGAGGGGCCCAAAGGGATTTTTTTTTGGCTAATACTGTCTAGAGCAGGCCAACTGCCAGCATCTCCATCACAGACATAAATACACAGGTTTTCTAGAAGTTGAGAAAGGGAACAAACAGGCTTTTAATTAAGACTGTCCCAAAAATGTTAACCTCAAGTTCACCTGGAGGAGTTATGTCTTTACAACAATTAGCTGAAATAAGTAGTTCAAAACTGCAAATAAATTCTAAACCCTCCTAAAAGGCTGTGTATTTTACAAATTTTTAATTTCCAACAATATAACCAATAGCAAAAAAATAGCACAAACAGTACTCATTTGCTAATAAATTTTTAGTCATTTGCTAATTTAACACATCTCTGTGTCTTTAGGCCTGAAAAGAGAATCTAAAGCAGTGGTTTTAAAGAGGGAGCAATTTTGTTCTGCAAGGACATGTGACAATATCTGGAGACATTATTGGTTGTCACGAGTGGGGGATGGGAGGACCTACTGGTATCCAGTAGGTAGAGGGGCCAGGGATGCTGTTTTGAGTATATACATATACTAACCCACAAAATAAAATCTAACTAACGTAACAAGTACCTTATATTCTTAGATAGGAAAAGAAAATTCCTCTTTCATCTCAAAAGGCTCTAAAAACCTGATGCTAATATTTTACACAAACAGATGTTCCTCTTCCAAAGAGAAGCCAGACAGTAATCATAGTTATAAATGGGGGAAATATGTCCTTTACCCATATAATTCAAATAAGAAATAAAGCTTTTCACGACTGCTATTTATACAGCTCACATTAGCATTCAGGGGAATCGTGGAATTTTGGAGATATTACTTCTGTATAAATTTAGAACCTGTTGCTCAACAGTGCTCTTGTCCTGAAGATTAAATCCTTAACTGAAAACTTGGCTTTTTCCTTTAAACCTATCTTTAAGGATTGTTTTCCAGCAGATAAATTAGGGACTCAAGAGAGGTCAAAATGCGATGCTGGAGTCTTCTTATAGAAGAACAATATTTTACACACAGTAAAATTAGGTCGAAAAGTCTGCAGCACAAAGACCCCTCAGTCTTCCCGGGCACTGGAAACACCTTGACTGTTAAGCCTGTGTTGTGCTATTTCCCCGCCTCCTGCCTCCCGCACAGAGGAGGGCCTTGGTTTTTTTCCTATTTGAAGAGCTTTAGACACCAACTCAGGAAAACACATTCATCTTATTCGCAAATCCTAAATTTATGCAGCATATATCAGCACTATATCACCAAGAGGGGTGATATAACAGAATTATGGGTACCTCTTTTTAAAGACTCCTAATTCCAAGTCCCACCCATCCCTCCAGGGTCCTAACTTTGGCTTAGTGACACAAAAATCTTCTCATAAAAATGGAGTCTTGTGGGAATGGAGTCAATGGAATTGTAATAGATAAGCATGATATTGGGGGTGGGAAGGCAGTAGATGGGGGAGAGGGGGGTTGTTACTTTGTGAGGGGTGAAAAGGGTAACTATTGCATTGTTCTGTACACCTGAAACTAACAATAAAATAAAATAAAATAATTTTTAAAATGGAGTCTTACCTTGGCTGGCAGCTTTCATTTTACAAGTGCCAAATACCTTTAAATGGGTTGTGGGGAAGAGGAATACGGGCACATGAACACTACAAAAGCATTTTTTTTTTATTATACATGATGTGCTAAAAAGTGATCAGGATATAAAATGCCTATTCCTCACTCAGCTGTCAATCTATCCAGACTAGACCATGCTGAGTGCACAGTCTAAGTGATTTTAATACCCAAGAAGGCCGACCCTTCTACAAAGAGTTTACAGAACTATCTGCAGCAGTGCTTAGTCTTACTTTCAACTAACAGACTGTTAAATCATTGTAGTATGAAATACCTACTTCAGCAATTATGGAAAAACATTATTTTTAGTATCTCATTTTAACTGGATTAATCCATAATTTATAATGAAGTATCTATATTTTTGTGTAATCAACACCTCATTTATCATTGTAATAAGTAATGTTTCCAAACAAGAAGTGTTTTTAAAAAGAGAGAGAAACAAAAGAAAGAAGTCATCCCATTCTGGACAAGATTTTAAGATAGCCACAAACATTTCACTAAATCTCTCCCCTTCCAAGTCTTTCATTAAATCTAATGTAGTATGGGTGCACAGATGCAGGAGAGTACTCCAGTTCCTTCCCATGATAAAGCATTACCAGTATCAATAGCGATTTTAGATATATTCATTCAATATTCAACAAAAATGTATTAAACATCTACATGTGAATCTTTACATAGCAGGCTGTACATTCTTCAGTAACAGAAAGAATCTATTTGTTAAACTTTTCCTCAGAGACACAGAAGAGATCTTTAAGCAACCAACTGTAAATGGATCCACCTGTTCTCTTTAGTTTTTGAGAGGCTCCACCTCAGGGAAACTTTGTCAATAACAACAAAAGGAATAAACCACTTTTCCTACAATAGTCTTGCAACACACCTAAAATAACTTTACAGCCAACACTTATTTCCCAGACTCTTTTCTGACACATCTTGCTAGTTGCAATGTGGTTGGTTGTATGTTTTCTGCAAGTAAACTCACTCCCCCCACCCCCACTCCTCGCCATCCCCCTGCCCCCTGGAAACACCCGTTAATTATCCCAACACCAGCAGACAGGGCACCCACAAGTACAGAAACATGGCAATCGCTATCATCCTACATAATCATTTCCAAAAAGACAAAGTCAAGCAAATAATGCCCAATAGCATGCCCATACGTCAAATCACTACTAAAACATTCTTTAAAAGAAATACAACCCAACTACTTAAAAGAGAGAGAAAAAAAAAGACTACTACTATTCTTGGTACTCAAGAGAAAGACACAGGACAAGTAGCCCTGAGGAGGTACACTTACTTACAAGAAATAAAAACAGCTAAAAATAATGTCTGGAAACAACCCAGGCTGTTCAAGACCTTTGCATCCAATACAAATGACTGAATGTGGCCCGTCTCACACTTGGCTTGATGCCAATTGGGCAACGGAGGATTTTCTTTCCATACAAATATAACCACTGGGTGATCCACTTAAAGAAACACTTCCTAAAAGAGAAGTCATTATTAGTTATTCATACTAGAAAAACCATCACACCATACTGAGTACTAAAGTGAAAAAAAAATTTACCTCTGCAGCCTAATCAACTGTAACCCTTAATTTCTTTTCTAGCTTTGAAACCTTATCAAGCTCCCCTCTTCCCTTCCCTAGAGAAATTCTGAAAATTAACACATTATTCTTGTAAATGTGTTTTTAAAATGTAACTTATAAAAACACAGAAAAATGTTTTAAACCAATCAAAATTATCTATTCATGATTTGCCAAGAGATTTTTAAAAGTAGTCACGTGTGTCATACTCGTCAATAAGACGGGCTTGGCTCAATATAACAGTTAACTCACTTTTGCTTTCAGAAAAGGGAAACTAGTCTGTAACCATGTGCCATTTGCGTAGAAACACGCCTGCATTTACTATCATCTTCATGCAAAACAAGACCAGTGCCCAGACCCAGTTTCTAAGAAACCAGCCTTGCTGCTAAGTAGCAACCAGCAGTGTTACTTAAATCAGACCAAACTTCTGAGTTGTGGCTTTCAATGCTACTCGCAACTCAAACAGCAACTATAAGTCCAACTCTTGGCAACTCACTGCCCAGTGCCTCCATTTCCCCAAATCACTTTGTAATCGGATATTTGACACAGCCTCAGTCATAGCTAAAACACTGAAGGAATCCTGAGGCTTGGTAAATTACTCAGGTCCTTGAAAAGAAAAGCATCTTACAAATTCAATGTGATCAATGTAAACCCATTCATTGAGCTTTGTACAAGTTCTCTAATTTCCTTATGTGTCATTTTCCTCATTCCTAAAGGAAGTTGGGTTAACTCATCCACTAATCACTACCTCAGAGATATGCATGATGTGCTTTCGGCTCTTACAGGTAATGTGCTAAGAAACACAAAGCAGTGTCAATGCATGTAGTGCGTTTTGCAGTGCCCTGATTAAAGACTGTAAAATTCTAGGAACAAGCCCTACACAACTTTTTTGGTCTAGATCACAAGTGGCCAGTGGTAAACGGAACTTGATTCATAACCCTATTTCACAATAGAAAACAATGTTGAATTATTTCCACAAGTTTAAAAACCAAGTTTAACATAAACAATCTTAGAAATCAAAGGCAAACTACAGAAGTTTCTAACCAAGATACTTACTGACCAAGTGATTTAATGCCAACTTCAGGGACCAGTTTTCACGTCTCTACATTTAAAGTATATGGCAGAGCTGGCTAGAGGGTTTTACATTCTTGCCAACAATTTATCCTGTATTTAATTACTTTCTAATTAAATCTCAAGAGTAAAAAGAAATTCAAACTGTATAAAATATCTTCTGTTTATAATATTACAGCCAGAAGTAAAAGTCATTTTCCACACTAGTCACTGAAGAATTTTAAAATGTTACAGATTATGAACAGGCCTGAAACTATACAGTCAAATTATGTGTACCTTAAAAAGAGGTGCTCCAGGAAGAATGCTGTTTTGGTTCAGGTCTGAGAGGTTATGTTGTTAAAAAGCTCCTGGAAAATAAGAAACAATAATAATTTACTAGAGTAGATCTTGTTCTGAAAATCAAGATCTATATTGCTAAAGTTTTGAAAAACCCTAAAACTTACAAGTTAGTTTCTAAAAACATGATGTCATGGATTGAAGCAGCAAACTGGAGTCTACAAAAGACACAACTGCCTGGGAACTAGGTAAAGAGTACTTTGCAGAGATTCAAACATAAGACACCGTAGAAGTTTCCTTTTCAATCTCAATTACTTCCTGGTAAGAGAGCTGTGAATACCTAAGAATTAATTTTTTAAAAAAAAGAAACTGGATATCATACACTGCCTGATCACACAAGCCTGATTTTTAAACATTTAACTAGCGGCTAAATATTTTATTCGTAAATGTCCTTACCATGTGCTTGGTGATACAAATACAATTACACAGGAAATTTTACAAAAAGGCACTTTGTACATAAACATTCTTACATTAAATTGCAAAATGAAAAAAAAAAAGCACATTACCTGTAGTAAATCCATATCACAGTAATTCTTTAGAACTGAATTTCAAGTGACATATGAATTTAATTCTCAAAGTCTCAGGTCTGCTTTATCTAGAGGTTCTCCCCTTTTTAAATAACGGTAGTTGGTAGCAAACAGAATTCCTTACCTTGAGATGCTGTTTGCATGTTTACAACATAAAGTAATTTTGCTCATTTCAATTTCTCACTGCTACTGTGACGTAATGCACAATAAAAAAGTAGCTGTTCACTGTCCAAATGATTTTAGAAATAAAATCATGAGCTGTAATTTGTTCTGTGGTATTTTAACAACTCAAGTTCTTTGTTTTTTTGGTAAATAGTGTACTATAAACTAGCAACTTTCCAATCTAGAACCCTTTGTTCCATACTCTTATCCATTCAAAAGATTAGCATGAATGGATCTGAAAAAGGCCTCAGAACAGCCCAGACAAATGGCTAAGACCACCACATAATAGAGCCCATGCCTTTTACCAGTAGGGGCATCCCACCACTCAACCCCAACTATGCTGAACAATTATGGTAAGTTTGGATATCTATAGTTTTCTAGCCCAAACCAGAAGTTAAAGAATTAGATTGGGAAAAAAAGGAGCTGCCAGAGTCAAACACAATGACAACAGTAGGAAACAACCACCAACAACTCAAAGTGAAAAGGGGAAGGGGGGAGAAATACAGCAGTCTGCAACCATTTGGCCCTCAAACATCTGTACACAACACAAATGATAGCCAACATTCATATGCACGTTCATACTTCCATGAGCAAACATGTTTAGAAATCCCCGGACCATTTTCAAATGATAGTCCAAAACCATCGTGATCATTACCAATATATATATACAGCACTTACTCCAAGCAGCAGTAGAGAAGAAAGACTGTGGGTTAAGCCCAATTTCCTTCTTTTCCCACTCAAGAAAGCATACCAGAATCCAAGAGAGTGAATTAAATTCATTGCGTATTCACTCAATAATTACTGAAATCCTACTATCTGCAGGCACTATTCTAGGCACAGGGGAGAGGAGCACACAAATAAGATGTATGTAGTCTCCGTCCTCATGGAATTCACATTTGTATAGGAATAACCGTGAACCCAACATAAACTTAAATAATTAACAGTGGCCTTTTAATCAGCAGTAACAAATCATTCATAATACACACATCACCTCATAACTAAAGAAGACACTAAAAAAACGTAAACAGAGCTCTGTACATGCAAAATATGGAGTTAGGATAAGGGCAAACCAGCTAGCAGCCCACGGCTGTTTGGGTACAGTGGAGAAAATTCTTGACTGGGGATCTGAGTTTGACTCCCAACTCTGGCGCTCAGGTGAATAACCCTGAGCAAGTTATACCTGTAGGCCTCAACCTTTTAACGTATTAAGCGGGGTTCCCACCACCAATTTCATGTGATTAATAAAACAATCATATGATTAATAAAACAATCATATTACCAGTGAATTAACTGGTAATATAGATGAAATGCTTGTAAACTATGACATGCCATACCAAAGTTAGCTGTTAAAAATTACTTTCTTAGGATACACAGTAATTGATATTATAAAATGGTACTAATAAATCACATTCAAAACACACTATTTAAGAAGGAAAAAAATGTAGCAAACTTATAAAGAACCTCATTCAAAAAATAATTTAAATTGATAAATTCTCAGGTAACAGAGAAAAATTAGTACCTAAAAATAGTCATCTCTAAATGTTCTAGACCGTAAAAGTTCACTCAACTACAAACCAAAAGGAAACTTATTTACCTAACTATATTAGAATATCATCTAGGTAAAGGGTCACGGAACCTCAATGAGCAGGTTGGTTAAATTGTGCAACAAAGAACATAAGCCTCCGAGCATAATCAGACTTATCATTACATATAAACTATCTTCTTTCTGACAGAGGAAAGGACTGCCTAGCATTCTGTACAAAATCACAATGTCATCAGCAGCCAATGGCCCTTTTTGCATCAGGGTGGAATCAGCAAGGGTAGAAAATTCATGCCTCAGTTAATTTTAATCTATAGAAAGGGTGACTTCAAAAAAGCAAAAATGTGAGAGAATCAGACAAAACCTACTTAGATCATAAAGCTCACACGTGAGGGGAGCCAATCTAGTCACAACTGAAGAAGCATTATCTGCTCACTTCCATCCCCACAAAAGACATTTCCCACACCTTTTCATGATTAATGAGACACACATGCCACTACAGACTGCCCCATCACCTCGGTTAAGGTTAAACACAGAATGGAAACTCATACACTCTGTCACTAAAATTCCAAATGCAAAGGCAGATTTAATTTCATTGATCTAGCCTTTTAAGGCTAGTCATAAGAGATGACTCCTACTGCCTGGGTGGAGAACCAAAGAGGCTTCTCATTTAGGAGACCACTGATTCAAAGAAAATAAAAAAGAAATTGTTCATGAGGCAATTCAATACCACACAGAAAGTTATATTAAATATTTCCAATACCATTAGCCAAGAAATGGGTGTTAGAAATGGCGGGGACGGAAGCAAAGACAGCAACCACCACCTAACCCTATAAAGCTAACTAGAAGTTCGGTTAACTCATTTCCAGTACAGCAGAATAGTATAATTCTAAAGAAACTTAATTTTCTTAGTAACAACCTTGTCTATAATTAATAAATCATTTTCAACAAACTTTCCGAAGGATCACAGCAATAATTTAGGGGACAGCCTCCTTCAACACAAAGGTTATTGAAATATCCTCTTCCCCAGTTACTTCTAAGTACCCCACCCCCAACCTTGGAATCAGCTTGAAAGTTTTAGTTTAATTTGACTGCTGCAATCTATCACAACAAACAAAAGTAAACTGTAAACCTTCCAACTATTTCAAGGGGATGACAAATGGGTTTCATTTTGTAAAACTGAGCTACTACAGAACCAGACTTTTTTTTTCAAATTGGTCTAAAGTTCTAGTGAACAAAATTCATGCTAGCTGTGGTGGGTGGGAGATGGGGGAATAAATTATCCTAAACAAAAAGCACCTGAGCATATTTAGAGATAAAAGTGTGGTTCAGTGCAAAGAGCTCAGGACCCCCCTCCAGTTACTTGGCCTCAGCTATTGCATTATGGCCCTTCCGTTTGCAAAGATGTTTGCAAGTATCAGAAATACAACATAAAACGTCTACTTCAACCCCTGGCACAAAGGAAGAGCTCAATGAACAGCAGCTTTTATATTATTAAATTCAATCTGACCTTTCAGATTCCTTTCCTGCATCAAATAACCCTCACCCGGTAATCCTAACCTGGCACATGGTACGAGCTCAATAAATAGTAGCAAATATTATTATCCAGCAAATTCGCTAATCCTGTGCTCAGTCGCATAAACATCTATAAATATAAACTTATAGCTACACACCACTTGTTAAAAAAAAAAAAAGTATTTTAAATGGGAAGAGAGAACATGCTGACTAAAATCAACCCACTCACTGGGCAACCAGTTCTAAAGTGACATCAAATATAGAGACAATTTGATGAGCAATCACTGTAATTTAGGAAAAAGACCCCAGGGCACTTAAATAGATTTTTCTTAGACTTTGTAGTCTGGTAAACATGACGAAAAACCTCTAGGGCAATTATGACCTCTGTGTTATGTTATAATGGCCTGTTTTGCTTCCATTACTGCTATAAATTCACAAAGTTATTATACTTCCCTCCCAAATTAGATTCCAGATTAAACAGAAGCAGATGAGCCATAGATTTAATATTTAGAAGCCTAATTTTTAATCAAAAGCAAATACTTTCTTGGATAGATTTTTCTACCTTTGCTTTCAATATATTTTGAGGGAGCCCCCTGAATATACTCCTTTATCAAATAAATGAACATGTGTAATTCCAGAAAATATCATTTATTTCTACCTCCACTTACCCTGTGATATAAATCACTTTTACATCAACTTTATTCACTACCATGGGAATGTAAACATTTTTTAAATAAATTAAGCTCTCTGCAATAATTTCACCATTTTTTAAATAATGAGTAATTTTCTTTGGTAAAGTTTTTCAATTCAGGGCATTAAGTTTTGGGCAAAACAGATATTCAAGCCATCCATCTGGTGGCATTTGTTAAAAATCAAAATAGCTATATATTATAACCTTACCATCTCCTTTGCAAGTGAGAACCAAGTATTTGGTCAACATTATTCAAGCTTTGTAATACTTGATTTATCAATAAGCACACCTGGGTGCAAAAAATTCATCAAACAATTTCCTTTAAAAAGCAGAGTTCTGTAGACAAAGCAAAATTGGAAAGGAAAATCAACAAAGCTCTTGGCTTTTAGAGATCCAGGAATACCATACAGAGCTGTCTCAATTTAAAATTAACAGTGGTAGCTATGCATGCTTAAGTATTTAATGTGATGTTGCAATTTATTTCAAAATGTATCAAAAAATAAAATGGATTAATGAATTGAGATGGAATAGACACATGATAAAACAAGTACAGTAAAATGTTAATGGCAGAGGGTAGGTAGCTTAGAGGTGTATACTAAAATTCTTCAAACTGTTATATATTTGCAATTTTTCATAATAAAATGTTGGATAAAAATAACCACAGTAACCAACATGTGTTCTCATAGTTAAATCTCTAACTTGTAAATTATATTTTGGGGAATAGCATAAAAGTCTATATAGCCTTGATTTTGATGAAGTTTTATTTAACAAAAAAGTCAAGTAGAAAATCACAGCAGAAATATTTCAACGACAAAGGTCTCCATTACCAGAAGTTAATTTAAAACAACCTGTCATAGGTCCAGTGTGAAACAAAATCTGTCATAAAGTTCTCTAAAAACTTCTGAAGGTTCCAAAATCCCATTCTGAGAGAAAGAAAGCAACCCCAAAACCTCTCATTTGATGGGAGGAGTTCACATTTCCCCAAATTGAGCCAATTCTGCATCACTAAGTAGGACATCAAATAAGATGATCCATTTTGGAGGTTCATAAAAATAGGCCCCTGGAATTGACTTATGACATCATACAAAAAGATACTTTTCTCATGAAAGTTTTATCTTTCTGCTGGTAAATTGCACTCACTCCATCCAGTAAAAGGGCAGCAGAGTACGTTTACAAACTGAGACCCACTCTGTGCCTTTGTGAAACACCTTCTCCACTGCTGTATGGGGGAGAGACTGGCTGAAGCAGCACAGGATAGCCCCGTGTTTAATGATTACACCCCGAATAATGTTAATGAGTTGGACTTCAGAATTGGAGGGGGCAGGGAGTTCTATGAGTCATGCTCATTTCTAAATTTAAGATAATCTGTATATAAATGAGCTTTCTGGCTGAATCTTTAAAAAGAGCAAATTAGTCTGAACAAACTGTATTTATGGCAACAATTCCAAATACTTGAAAGTTTTACTTTAAGCCTACTGGGAAGCACTATGTATTTTTTTTAAATAACGTACATTACATTTTGTGTCCTTCTTAGACACCAAGTTGTTTTTGGTTTTTTTTCCTCTAAGTTAATTTTAAGAGGTATGCATATCCCTCCCCACCTCTCAGGTTGTAAAAACTAAAATTTAACATACATTTCACTGTAACTGATCAAGCTCAAAAATAAGCCTACACAACTGAAATAACAATGTTACAGGTCTAAAAGCTAGAAACTGTTCATGACCAGAAACGTGCAAATTAAGCAGGAAGACAAACGATGTATTGCTATCAACTTCTATTCTAGGAGCCATCTCTTTTTGGACAAGAAAGAAAAACATGAATATCTATGCTGTGAATTCATTCATACTTACTAAACGTATGTAAATACAGCAAATGGCATATGTGGAGGTGGGGTCTTTAGAAAATAATTCTACAACAGAGAGTTTTGAAATCAAATATCCATTCCTTAATTTTTAACCTAAGGTGACAGCAGCATGTTTACACAAGGATTTAACGAAACTTTCTAAGTTTCATTATGAATTATTAACTGTTTAATTTTGACACAAAGTTATTCTCCATTAAAAGTTATTTTAATAGGTAGATCTCTACCAAAACAGGTTTAGGGATCTGTATTTCTGATTGCTTTCCAATTATAGACATTAATAGCTCAAGAGTTGTCGCTTCTGCAAACACAGAAGCCAGGAAGTATTGTGGATATGATTTTGAGGGGGATAAGCACTGAATCAAAAGCTAATTTGGCTTTTTTTTTTTCTGCTGTATAGTAACCATGTAAAAAGAGATGATGAGAAGTCCAACAAACAAATTGAGAACTGTGATTCTACTACAAGTAAATTTTGTGACAGATTAACAGTCTGGGGGAATCTGGTAAAATTATATGTTTAGGATTTGTTTCAAAACAGTTTGGGGTAGGGAGTACTGCATGAAACAAGACTGACCCTGGCTATGAGTTAATAATTATCAAAGCTGAGTGACCAATATATGGGAATTATGCTATTCAATTTTTGTATGCTTTCCATAATAAAAAGTTTGGTTTTTTTTAATTAGGCTATCTACTGCAACATTAAAACATCATTTCCCTAACACTACAATTTTCAATATGGCAGAAGACATGATTTGTTTTCTGTTGGTTGTATAGTTGTTTGCTTAGGTGTTTTTAAAGTCATCCAAAAGGATAACTATTGCATTGTTCTGTACACCAGAAGCTAACAATAAAAAAATTAAAAATAAATAAAAATAAAGTCATCCAAACAAAGATTTTTAAACTAGAAACGATGGTAAGCCTAAGCGTCAAGAAAATTCTAGGAAAATGTCAATAACAGGGAGACCACTTTGCATCATGAGTGTTATTGAGATGGGTGTAAATCAAAACAGTTTAAGTTCTGTAAGGAAATTTATTACCTAAAATAATCCAATGCATGGGAGGATCATTCAGTAGAGCAAACACAGGCCTTACTCAATTCTGTAAATTTAAACCTCTGTGAGTTGCATTTTCTTAATGAAGGGTACACCTATACGACGACTAAGTACAGAACTAAAGGAAACTCTGCATCCTTAATTAAGTTGCTGTTTTATAAATCCCACCTGTCACCAGGATGACTGAAACTGCTCTCTCTACAATCCGACTGTATGTTTAATTTTTATTTCAACAAGCAGCCATGTAATTTACATTTAGTAAGCACGCCGATTCTTGAAAGCCCCCAAATCAACCAAAAATCCGGTTTAACTCTCTTTCCACCACCCTCTACACAAGGAAAGCTACAAGCAGAAGGGAAGAGTGACCTTAAAAACGTCCCCACAGCCAGAGAACAGAGGCAGAACAGACCGAAGCACACATCTTCGCCCAGCAGAAGAAAACTTCCACATAAGCAATACTGCGACACGGAGGTGGGGCAAGGGCTTAAAAGGAAAGTCGGCCAACAGGGACGGAGGGAATAAAAGCACAGCTGCAGTGAAAAAAAAGTTAGACGTTAGAGATGTAGCCGCAAGAAAGGACACACATTTTCCAGCTTCGTACACCCCCCTTCCAGAGCCTGGCACATCAACAAGCGCTCCAGAAAGGTTTGCTGAACTCAAGGAAAGCTTCTGCCAGCAACTTTCCCAGAAATGAAATGACAACAAGAAGCCTGAGGATGGGGGGGGGGGGGGGGGATGGACAGGTTGCTCCTACGGAGGGAGCTGGTGAAAATCGTGCAGGTGGCTCCGCAGAGGAGATGGAGAGAGCAGAATCTATCTTACTTACAGAGTGTCCCAATTAAACGTACACCCCTTTCAGGTATGAACCACCCCAAACAATAAGCCGGCGCCGGCGGTAGGCACGCTGAACCTCTCTGCCTCTACGGAAACCCAAGCGGGGAGCTAGGTCAACTTCGGTCCACTCTCCCCACTAAGTTATACCTTAATATCACGCTAATAAATTATGCAGACGGTTTATTGGGACACGCTGTGGGTCTGGCACTCTGATAAGCGCTTTACACGCCCCAATGCACTGAACCTTAACAGCCTGAAGAGGCAGGGACAGCATTAGCCCCTTTTTCCAACCAAGGCACAAAGAGTTTAGGTGACTCACTTGCCTACGGGGACGGGGCTGGGATTTGTACCCGCGTAGGACACCTGGGTGGCGTTCCTAACTACTGCGCTACAGACCCGCCTGGGGAGATTTAGGTGCTCCGGGTCTCAAGGACTTCAAGCGGGGACCCTCCGCCTCCGCCCCGGGAATAACTTCGGCATCCTTGAGCGCCAGGAGGAATGAGGAAAGGCGCCGTGGCACCTGTTTCGGGCCCCAATAAGGGGTGAGGGGCTGGGGTCCAGGCCGCCCGGCGCCCCGACGCGGGGGGCGCGGGAGGACCCGCCTCCTCCGGGAAGGCCCCGCGGGCGGAGGGGGAGGCCCGGGGAAGGAGGCCGGGCGCGCGGGCCCGCCGAGGCCTAGGCCCCACCCCGCCGCCCACCTCCCCGCGGACGCGGACGCGGCGCCCGCGCGGGCCCCGCCAGGCCCGGCCCGGCCGCCTCACCTGGCTGTTGCCCGGCGCTCGTCCCCCGGCCGGCGGTCCTGGGCGGCGGCGGTCGCGGCGGCGGCGGCGAGAAGGGGAAGGAGGAAGGAAGAAGGGAGAAGAGGAAGGGACGGCAGGAGGGAAGAGGCGGAGTGGCCGCGGAGAAGGCTGGCGCCGCCGGGCCGGGGGGTCAGAGGAATGGGGGAGCCGAACCTGACGCGGCCGCCGCGGGCGCAAACCCTGAAGATCCGCTCCGGCACCCGCAGCCCTGCAGGAAGTGACGGGGGAGGGGCCTCTGCCCGCCCCCAGCCCCCGCCCGCCTCCAGCCCCGGCCCCACCCCCCGCCCGCGGCCTGGACCACAAGTCCCGGCGGGCGCTGCGTTCGCAAGGCACGCCGGGAACCTAGTGGGCAGGGGTCTGGCCCCTGTAGAGCCACCTAGGCCCGGCCTGGGCCCCGGGGTCTGCTGGGAGTTGTAGTTCATCTGGGAGGCGTGACCTGCCCGCGGGGAGCGAGGTTGGGCCTTCCTTCTTTCCTCACTCCCATTTGTTTTTCTGGTTTTCCTCTCCGTCCTTTTCCCGCCTCGGTCCCTACTTTTTCTCCTTTCCTCAATTTCTCCATCCGTAAATGTTTATTAAACGCTTGCTGTGTGCAAAGCACTGCTCCGAAAGCTAACAATATGGCGGTAAAGAGACACAAAAATCCCTGCCCTCATGGAGCTTACGTTCTTAGTCGGGTAAAACACAAAATTAAAGTAACTTTTATAGTGAGTTAAAAGGCAAGAAGTGCCAGATTGCTATTTCTTTCGCTCTAGATAAACTAAGTGGTTTTTAGCAGTCATCTTATATGATCTTACCTGGCAAGACATACATATTATTCTTACCGCTTGGTGTACCGTGGAAGAAAAGACCTGTACCTGGGCTTTAGCCCAAAGAGATAGATGAGTTAATAGCCCGCCAACCTGACCAATATCCGGTTGGGGCAGAGGTAGTCCCAAATCACAACCCTAACTGGGATTACCCACTCCAAGCCCAAAACAGGCGTCAGAGAGATCATATGGTCACTTGTCTAATTGAGGGGATGAAAAAAGGTATAATCAAGCCTGCAAACTACAGGAAATTACTCAAGGCCGGGATGAGAATCCAGCCCTTTTTCAATCCTGCCTGGCCGATGCCCTCAGAAAATATGCCAACCTAGACCCACCAAGCCATGAAGGGCCCACAATACTAATTCATTGGACAATCAGCTCCAGACATCTGGAGAAAACTTCAGAAACTTGAATTAGGACCTCAGCCCCCTGGCCCACATACCCTTCCTATTCTATTGAACACAACCTGCAAGGTCTCTAACAACCGAAATGAAGCCGAAAGGGAGTCTAGGATTAGGAAACACAAGGAGAAGGATCAGAGAAGGGCTCAATTGATAGCTGCTGCCCTTGCCAGCACACTTCCTGCGGAGCCTTACCTGCTCAGGCCCTCACGGAGGGAGACCCCTGAGGACCAGCCCAAACGTCCGCTTCACCTGCTACCGAGAAGGACACAGGAGTAAGGACTGCCGGCACCTCCTGGCCCTTGTCTGATTTGCAAAAAGAAAGGACACTGGAAGAGGGATTGTCCCCTTTCCTTTCTAGGAAGGAGGCCATCCAGATTCCAGGCTAGCCAAAAGGGCACCTCCTTCAATTAGTTCCAGCTAATGGTCATCGTTGACTATGAACCAGACGACTCTGATCCACTTGCATGATGGGCCCCGGGGTTCATCCAGGATCCCCTCCTAAACATCACTGAGGCCAAACCCAGGGTAACGCTTGATGTAGCAGGCAAAAATATTACGTTTCTAATCAATACGGGAAACACTTTCTCTGCTCTTATCCAACACTCTGGGCCCACACTTCCTTCAGCTCTTCTCCTTACAGGCATCAAGGGAAACCCAACAACCTACAGGTGCACTTTACCACTCCCATGCTGCCTCAGGACCCTCATTTTATCCATAGCTTTTTAGCAATGCCACAGTGCCCAATTCCCTTACTAGGGCGGGATGTTATGCAGAAGTTACAAACTGACCTCCACTTCATACCTACGCTTTCTCTACTGGCCTCTCTGTGGCTGTTACTTCCTAGTCAAGCGGGAGAGCCCATCCTCTTCCTTCATCCCTCCCCGGGTTAATAATCTAGTTGATCCTGCAGTTTGGAACCAAGAGATCCCAGGGAGGCCATATCCTATCATCCCAGTCCAGATTAAGCTGAAAGTCCACACAATTTTCCCTTGTAGGCCTCAATATCCTATCAACAATGAGGCCTTGCTTGGGCTTCAACCAACAATTAATTCATTCCTCGAGTACTGCCTTTAAATCCCCTGCAATTCACCTTGCAACACTACCATTTTACTGGTCAAGAAACCGTCTGGTCAGTACCAGCTAGTCCAAGACCTCCACATTATCAGTGAAGCAGCAGTCCCAATACACCGCTTTGTCCCAAATACATATACCCTATTGGGACTAATACCACCCAAAACGGAATGGTTTACTGTCCTAGATCGAAAAGATGCTTTCTTTTGTATTCCTTTAGATCCCCCGTTCCAATTTCTTTTTGTGTTTACCTAGACGGACCCTCATACGCAGGTCTGCCAACAATATACCTAGACTGTCTTACCACAGGGATTCTGCGACAGTCCTCACATTTTTGGACTAGCTTTAGCTGGGGACTTAAGAGACCTGTCCCTCCCCGGCACCACCATCCTCCAATATGTGGATGATCTTTTAATCTACAGTCCAGATACACAAAGCTCAGAGCAACATGCCACTGAGACTCTCAATTTCCTTGCTAGGCGGAGATATAGAGTATCAGCCCCAAAAGCCCAGATTTCACAACAGGTTACCTATCTAAGGTTTGTACTCTCGCCAGGGCAACGACAACTGAGCACCTCGAGGAAAGAACTTGTTATTTCCGTGCAGCCTCCCCACACTAAGAAACAATTAAGGACCTTCCTAGGTATGGCTGGATATTGCCAAATCTGGATTCCCCAGTTCGGAGTCATAGCCAAACCTTTACATGAAGCTTTAAAAGGTCCCGATTGTGAGCCTTTAGACCGGAACATGGAATTAGAGCCCGCATTCGGTTCTCTCCGGGAGTCTCTTCCTGAGGCCCTAGCCTAATCCCTCCCCAACCTCTCCAAGCCTTTCTCACTTTAAATCTCGGAGAGAAGGATTGCATTAGGGCTCCTTATTCAGACCTTAGGAGTAGATCCATGGCCAGTCACCTACCTATTAATGAACCTAGATCCCGTAGCAAAAGGCTGGCCTCCTTGTTTAAGAATTCTAGCTGCCTTCACTTTACTTTTTTTTTTTTCTCCTAAATTGGGGAATTGGGGGAGGGGAACAGTGTTGGGGAATTGGAGAGGGGGACCAGCCAAGTTGTTGTTCCTCAGTCTTAGTTGTGGAGGGCGCCAGTCACCATCTGGCTGCCCATCAGCAGCTCATAGCCTCTAAGCTCAAGGTGCTGTGTTCAATCTTAGTTGCGGGTGGGCATAGCCACTATCCCATGTAGGAGTCGAACCAGCAGCCTTGTGGTTAAGAGTGCATGCTCTATCCACTGAGCCATCTGGGCAGCAGCTCAGCTCAAGGTGCCGAGTTCAGTCTTAGTTGCAGGTGGGCATAGCCCACCATCGAACAGGCAGTCTTGTTAGGAGCACGTGCTCTCACCAACTGAGCCATCCTGCCACCTGTTGGCAGCTCAGCGGCAGCTCATTTCGGGCGCAGGGTCACTGGCCCATGTGGGAATCTAACCAGCGGCCCTATTGCTCAGAGCTCGTGCTCTTAAACTAACACTTAACCAACTGAGTCACTTGGCCGCCCCACTTTACTTTTAAAGGAAGCCTTAATATTTACTTTTAACCAGCCTCTGACCATTTACACTCCTCATCAGGTAATAAATATCCTCCTTGCTAAGGCCCCTCCCTCGCTGGCTGTCTGTCAAATGGTCGGCTAGCTCAATACCAAACCCTTCTGCTTGACTCCCCAGACTTAACTATTAAAACCTGCAGTACCCCACTCTTCTACTGGACACATCCACCCCGGAGGAGCACAAATGCTTAGAGGCCCTAAACCTCTCCCACTCTGCCTGGGAAGACCTAGAGGTCTTCGGGAACACTCTGTTCCCAAAACCCGACGCCACCTGGTTCACAGACAAGAGTAGTTTCATTAGTCGGGGGCAGCGGAAGGCTAGTTATGCCATTGTCTCCAGATCAGGGGCAATCGAGACAGGCTCCCTCCCCTTTCAACATCGGCCCAGAAGGCCCAGCTCATGGCTCTAACCAGAGCACTCCTTGTAACCAAGGATCTCAGAGTTGTGATCTATACTGACTCTAAGTATGCTCACCATACTCTCCATGCTCATGCAGCAGTCTGGCTAGAAAGGGGTTTCCTTACAGCAAAGAACAGCCCCATTAAACACAGGGCCGAGACCCTCCAATTATTTGAAGCTGTTAAGTCCTCCACCAGAGTAGCCGTCATTCACTGGCAGGGGACATCAATCCAACACGGATGAGATCTCCCAAGGCAATAATTTTGCAGACAAAACAGCCAAGCAGTCTGCCGTCTCTACTATTAAGGCCCTTCCGCTTTTTCCAATCGGCTTTACTTTTCAACCCAATCACACACCACAGGAGGCCCTTAAGGCTAGGGAGAGGGGTTAAACCTCCAACTCCCAGGGCTGGCTCATAAGGAAAGCTGTTAATCCCATGAGCCTCCCAATGGAAATTTCTCTTCCATCATACCACACTCCTTGGAGGTAAAGCACTCACTGAAATCATTGGGCGGCACTTCATAGACAGAATATACTAGCACATTGATAAAATATCTCCAAGACTTGTCCCATATGCCTTAGAACTAACCCTGAGGGATACCTTAAGCTCCCCCTCTATTAGAAACCATCCAGAGAAGGGGACAACTCCCAGGAGAAGACTGGCAGATAGGTTTTACTCATATGCCTCCCTGCAAGGGTTATCTTATCTCAGGGTTAACAAGGTTGGGGTTTGGGGATGGGGAATCTCTGACCTCTAGAATCACACTTCAGCAAAGAAGAATGCATACCTTGTGAGAGGTCCAGGACGCCGAGTGAAGGCACTGCAGATGCCCAGGCCTTCTCTCACTTACTCTGGAGATGCTTCCACACTATTTGAAAAGTTTATTTTTCTCTATGCCTATCTATCTATCTATCATCTATCTATCTATCTATCTATCTATCTATCTATATCTATCTATCTATCTAACTATTGTTCTATCTTTCTTTCCAA